GTGGAGCGAGACCCTTACTGTCCGCTGTCCACCTCTCAAATTCGTGAGCTCACTACGGACGCAGTGATAGAACTACAAGACAGGGAGTCCAAAGGATTTTGTCCGCCCGGACTCTAGGTGCACTCTCCAAATTCGGGTCCTCACGGTGAGTCCCTTCAAGGACTTTCCACTGAACGAATTTTGCAGGCTGGGAGCTGTACATTTACGGACAGTAGATTTCCGATGGGGTTTCTAAAAACTGTCCAAGCCATTTTGCACATGTACAGTGGACAGTAAGTGGAGCGAAGTACGACTGTCCGTTTTTGTACAGTGGACAGTAGTGGAGCGAGACTCTTTGCGTTGCTCTCTATGACCTTCCGAGGGCTCTGGGTCTCGCTCCACTACTGTCCACTGTACAAAAACGGACAGTCGTACTTCGCTCCACTTACTGTCCACTGTACATGTGCAAAATGGCTTGGGGTCTCGCTCCACTACTATACACTCTCCGAATTTGGAGAGTTCGGCATCGCTCCACTTACTGTACACTATACATGTGCCAAATCGCTTGGATAGCTGTCAGATATGGGTCGGAGATTGCTCTCTCCGTCAGTGTATAGTTCCCAGCCTGCAAAAGTCGTTACTCGGATACTCCTCAAAGGAAACCACAGACCCCCTGCGTTTTTGTATGGTGAACCTCAAGTCTGGACGGACAAATTGCTGTCTTCTAGTGCTGTTAGACAAATTGCTGTCTTCTAGTGCTGTTAGACAAATTGCTGTCCTCTAGTGCTGTTAGGGTGTTGCATAGTGAACTCAGGAACTGGAGACTTTGTATAGCAGATAGTAAGTGGAGCAACACTGGGTTCTATACAGTTTTTCGCGGTCTGACAGCTATACGGCAACTATGCGAAATTGTGTATAACGGACAGTAGTGGAGCGAGACCCTTGGACAGTTTTTAGAAACCCCGTCGAAAATCTACTGTCCGTGAATACAGCTCCCAGCCTGCAAAATTCGTTCAGTGGGAAGTCCTTCAAGGGACTCACCGTGAGGACCCGAATTTGGAGAGTGCACCTAGAGTCCGGGCGGACAAAATCCTCTGGACGCCCTGTCTTGTAGTTCTATCACTGCGTCTGTAGTGAACTCACGAATTTGAGAGGTGGACAGCGGACAGTAACGCTGGACCCGGTTTCCAGCAGGTGCAGCTCCCCACTATAAGTTGGAGCCGCCCCATCACTGTACATAGCAACTGTAAAGAGACCCAATAGGATAGACAGGAACAAACAGTAACAATCTTACAAGTACAGAATGACAGACAAACAAATAAACAAACAAATAAACAGACAAACAGCTCAGCACAAACTATATTACAACCGATAGCTGGCACAGAGTACATAGCAACGGCATAGAGCTCAAATTCTCCCACAATCTGATTGTTTTCATAGCCAACATGGTTCACATTGTAAATTACATTGCAATCGAAAGACTAGTATAGGCTACAGGCCCACTAACCTGTCACGACCTTATTGCTATCGTAGCTGACATGGATTAAATCCAACTGTATAATTACAATTTAAATGTACTTGATAGGGACGCTGGACCCGATTTCCAGCAGGTGAGGCTCCCAACCAATAGATGGAGCATTGTTATAAAAAAAAAAAAAAAAAAAAAAAAAACCCTCCTTGCAGCCGCGGCACGGCGCGACCGAAGAGGGAAAAAAAAAAAACAAAAAAAAAAAACCACAACCGCCTTTTCGAAATCTGCCCTGACACCACTGCCGGCCTTGAGTTACGAACGCCTTTTCCAACTCAGGCCTTGACACAGACGCCGAAGGCTGTTTTTTGTGCCCATTACAAACTCCCATGTGACATAAACATGCTTCCCCCTATCACCTCATCAGGCCCCGCCGTGCACCTCTAACCAGCACCCTCAGCCTCAAGAACGAAGTCTCGTAACCACCACAACCCTTGGGAGGTGTTATAAAAACTAAATCCATACCGGTTATGATATCCAGCCCACCTCCAGGGCTGTAGCGTCCTTGAACTCACACCACATACACCACACCACGGACAGGCCCACCACCGCTACTTAACCTGGTCACTCCAAGTATTTACTGTCTTTTTATAAAATCTTATTTTTATAATTTTATTTTTATTTTTTTCAAAGAAGGGCCCAGTGGCCAAGGCTGTAGTTATCACAATGAAATACAATTGAAATCCCGGGCCCATTGCCTGGCTCCAGCTTGAGGGTGCAAAAAAACGCCTAGACTGGAAAACGGGTCCAGCATCCCATGGGATAATTAAAATCATAAATACCAGTGCAACGTTCAGACGCTAGTAAATGACTGCTGTCAGCTAATCCATGAAGACACCAAATGGCTAATCCATGAAGACACCAAATGCCTGCATGCACCGCCTTGAAGGTTGCTTTATCACCTTGGCCGAATTTAAAGTCATCTTGCTCCTTTCATCCATTTTGCTGATCGGCGACGATCGAAAACTCGAGTAGGATGCCAATGACTTTTGGTTCCAACCTCGACATTATGTAATTCAGTTCCTATGTTGACAACCTTTGCTCCATGGTTCGCAGTAACTAGTCCCCCCAGGCACCAGAAGCACTCCAGTCGTCATCTCCGTGTCCAACACCATTATTCTCATCACCGCAACACATCCATTGGCAGTAACCGGTCCCCCCAGGCACCAGAAGCAATCTGGTCTTCATCTCCATGTCCATTACCATTATTCTCATCACCGCAACACATCCATTACGACCATCCCCAACAGTGCCACACACTGACACCCACTGACCACAACGATGATGATCCTTATAATGATGATGATGACGATGATGACAGTGATGATGCTCATGATGATGATGATGATGATGATGGTGGTAATGCTTTCACGATCATTTGTCACGCAGCCTGGACTCCCATAACATCCCATGACATGGGACTACATGATTCTCACACACCTTCATCTCTTGCTCGTTGATAGATTGTGCAGCACCGGGCGCAGTGGGCGGGGCAACGAAAACTACGAATCAAACTGCAATCATCGTCGTCAGATGACCTTTGACACCTCTGGGATTGCAAATTATTCCCTGAATATACCCTTATCAATATGAATATGTAACAAAAAGAAGAAAAAAAATCATCAAAATCAATCCGTACGAAGGTAAGTAAAATAAAATAAGCACAGTACATCATGAATGTTGACTTGCTCTCAATCTTGATTGAGATCCACTGTTATAACGAAGGATGCCGACGTGGTCGATGGGCAGCACGAGGTGAGAGGACACACCTGGGCAGGGGCTCCAGCAAGCTATGCTACCATCCCTTGCCTACCACTTTGCCCACAAGGGACGGAGAAAGGAGAGAAATAAATAATTAACATGGTACGAGCAAAAGTGAGCTGCACCAGCGCCGTCCAATGAGAGAAATAAAAATTAAGTACCTACTTGTTAACAGGTATTCGAGACGCTCGCAGAATCTGCACAGCAAACTCCTCAAAAAACTGGAAGTGCACTTCTTTGTCACCAAGGGTTTCCTGTGCCGTTCTAGGCAGGCCACATGAACTACCACCCCAATATCCTGAAGGCAGCAGGAAAGAATAGACAAAAGGCTGGTACTAGCCAACCAAACAGTTGGCCAAAAGCTGTACCGATAAGCATACAATCACCAACTGGAAGCCAATGTATTAAATATGTAATAGTATGTACAATGCAGTCTATTCTAGCTCTGCCAAGGAACTGTCAGCTCCCGTCATCGAGTTATTACCTGCCTACGACGCCCTACCTCACCCCTTCCAACAATCCGACAATCTCCGATTTGGATGGGGCAACACACCGCCGTGATCCCCTCCGGACTGAGGTGATGGCTAACACGATCCAGTTTAAATTTCGCTATTTTATGTAGAAAGTACTAGAAATGGGGGAACAGGTTCAGAAAACATGGCATTGTCTGGCATTAATTACCAGTAGCTGCAGTAGCGATGAATACTACCCGGTCGGGCAATCGGCGCGGTAAATCCATTTTGCTCGGATCGTTTCAGCATCTCAGTTGTTGCATCCACTCCAGTGTGATATGCCTCTGGCGTTACAACAAGGCAAGCGATAGCTACTAGTAAGTTCTAACCCTTGTCAGTGCCATATGTTGTCAATAACTTGAACCTTTCGCAGGCTGTAATTAGTAATTATCCTTTCCAGTCGGCGAAAAAGAGACAAATACCCTGTGTTACTCAAACCCTTGAATGGGTGCGCAGTCTTGCTTGGTAACCCACAAGCCTGCCAGACTGTGGTGTGATCACATCTGCAGTGCCTTCAATACGTGGCTGCGCAGTGGTTCAGAGTCATGCTCAAGACATGCACAGGAAAGGTGTGGGCTGACCCTTCTTTCCTTGTGCATGCTAATAAAACATGCAAACCACCAACTGGTCTAGCTCAGTTGGTACACCCATGAACTGTTAAAACTTAGAATACAGACCTGTGTTCGAACCCGAATGGAACAAGATGAAGAACAATTCTGAATCTACCTGGGCCTGGTCAGTTCAAGGATGATAGGTCCAAGGCCATCACCTTTCTAAACGAAAATAGAACATGCAAACATTTAAATGCCCCCTGGGTGAAAGGGTACACACATACTACATTGTCAACCATAACAATCCGCCCCGAGGTGAAGACTTCAAATCCCAATATATACAAAAGTGCCAAACCAAAGTTGTTGCTATATGTGGATGACAGTAGTGCTTTGTCCGTTCGTCGGAGGGCCGCCAAAGAAGCGCTAATGGATTATTAATAATTTATTAATCAATTTATTATCTGTCTGTGACTGCAGCGTGCCTCTGGCTGCCCTGGCTTAGAGCCAAGGCTATCTGGCTATTTTGCCTGTTCAGCCCAGGCCGTGGCCTGACCCCACAGGCCGTGTATTCATTCAGTCCAGTCCAGTCCTGCCCGGTACCACTGTCGCTACCAGTCCAGTCCAGTCCAGTCCAGTCCAGTTAGTCCGCTAGGGATATACCTCAGCTCCAGTCTGTTTTTCATTTCATTCTTCATCTGCACAGTTTCGAGTACGTGCATGTTGAGTCTGCGTCGGAGCTGCGCTGTCCCTTCCAGTTCCAGCTCCGTCTCCCTCATCCTCTCACCCCCTTCGTCTTGATCCTGACGGACTGCCATTCCCACGGGTCCTTCACACTGACCCTCTGAGATCGCATGCTTTTCCCTGTCATCTATAAAGCTAGCCACAATGTTTTTCCCTGCCATCTATAAAGCTAGCCACAATGCTTTTCCCTGCCATCTATAAAGCTAGCCACAACTCGAACTGCGGAGGGGAGTCGCAGTTCCTACATGACATGTTAGAAGGGCCCAACAAAGCACCCAACATGTTCAGGGCTCCCAAGAACATGGACTGCGCCACCTGTGCAGGTCAGATCTGGGCCACGTGCAGCGCATGACATGGGCCAACTTGATCGAGTCCTGGTCAACCTGGGTCAAGACACGGGGATTTTCAGAAACCCAGACATGAACTGCACAACCTGGCCTGGCAGCTCGGCAAGCAGTTCACGGGCCAGGTGATGATCACTCGTTATGTTCTTCATCGCCACAAATTGCACTATATCTCGCTCAGCTTGTCGGCCACAGCGTTGGAGGAGTCCATTGTCGCTGTCTAAGACCTCCATAGACGAGAAGTCGGCAGAGCCCACTCCAACAATCAAGATCGAAAGAGGAAGCCTGGACGCTTCAATGAGTGTGTCGATTGTCGAGTCTATGTCATTTATGATGCCATCGGTGATTATCAGGAGCACAGAATATTTCAGCTCCCTAGTTTTCAAGTGTTCTTCGGCAATTTCCGCAGACTTAGAGATTACAGGGGCAAACAGGGTAGGCCCTGCAAGGGACACAGAATGAACCGCTCTTGAGTATGCCTTGAGGACTCCCTCAACACCCACCACCTCCGAATCCAATGGATTTCCATTCAGGTTGAAGCAGTGTGAAACCTCAAACATTCCTGATCGCCCGACATTTGCTCCAAACCCCCAGGCGGGGAAACGTTTGTCCATGTCATAAAACTCAACGACCGTTCCGACGGTGCGGATCGCCCGTTGATAAGGGTTCTCCCACCCTTGAGGATGGATGAAATGAAGAGAGTTCATTTTACTTTGGTGCCCATTAGATGCAGTGAAATCGATCGCCACATGGAAGCTGATCTCACATCCCATGGAAACATACTGTAAAAATGATGCTGACCCCATAATGCGGCATTGTTTGCAGAACAGTTTTCCAGTTACTTCGGAACCATCAGGCCTCTTTCGCCGGCACAGCGGTGAGGGACTCCTTAACGCCGTTAACGGGATGGCCCTGCTCGTCTGCGCATCCTCTGCCAGCTGTTTCACGGACCTTCCCGTACTTCCAATCAAAGTGTCGTCACTGAAGAGGCAGTTACCGAAACATTCGATTCGTAGAGGACGCTCCTGATCTCCATTGCACAAATCCTGGAGCGAAAGAACGGTGGGATCCCAATCCCAGACCAGATTCCGACCCTGCCCCCCTACAACGGCTAGTGGAGTCTCGAAAACGGGTGCGGCAGTCCCGTTCTCGAAAATCTTCGATACCTTCAAATACGGAATGCCATTGCCAAAGAGGGAAGTATCCATCTTGTCAAGGTCTTGTGCATGGAATTGCAAAGTCACAGTTTCATGCCGCTCAAGTGGCACCTCCTCGACACGGATGGTCAGCGTGCCCATCTTCCCAGGGGCCTGGACCTTGGTGGACATGCGCTCTCTACGACCTGAGGTTGAACCAGCAGAGCTCTGAGGAGGTGCCCTTAGCTCTCTGGTGAGCACTTGGCCGTGGGCTTGCACGAGCTCTGCAAGGCTGCACTCGGTTACCCCCAAGAAGTCCTGGTCTTCCAATCTCACCGTCGATTCACCATTGCTGCTGCTGCTGCTGCTCCGCCGAGGTAAGGTATCCACATCGTAGACAGAGAAGCGAAGCAATTGGACGGCATGGAATCGATAGCTCAATGTGAAGTTCTTTGCCCATTTGGGATTAAGATCATTCCAGATGATCTCAGTACGGCCGATCTCGGACCAGACAAGGACGTCGGTATTTGTCTCGCACAACTCGACCACCACCATCGGATCCGATTTCGAAAAGACATCCATGTCAAGCAAACTACTCGCAGACAATGAGATCTGCACCGTTGCAATTTTTTCCCCAGACTGCTTCATCATGAATTGAACAGCCTCCAGAGCGTTGAATGAACGGCACCTATACCCAAGGGGCCTTGTCCGAAAAGGCCACCAGCTCTGGCAAAGATCAACAAGAAACCACATGTTGAACAAGGACATTTTGGCAATGCTCCTTCCTCTGTATCGAGACACACACGTGAACAACCACAAAAAAAAAAAAAAAAAAAAAAAAAAAAA